ATCTCGGGCAGCAGAGAACTCACTGCTTCACAGCCAGGCAGCCTGCTCCCTGCTGGATGCTTCCAGCCACAAGCGCAAACCCTGCTCCGCTCTAACTCTACCCGTTTCGCCTGTTTGTCCCCACCTACATCACAGAGAAGCAGCAAAATCTCTCCAAGAGCCATGCAGCTCTGGAAGCCAATATTCCTCCCTCCTCCCCGGCACCCTGTGTGTTCTCCAATCTGAACACTGCTCAGTCTGCAATGGCTAGACCCCGGCCCTTCCCAGGTGACTCCACGCTATGCCCTGGTGTGTCATCCCTATTGCAAGACCCAGGTCTGAGCCTCCACCTGGGTGGGTCTGACAGATGGGAGAGAGACAGAGCCCGCACGTCAGACCCTGGCCTCTGTGAAGGTCCTCAAATCTAGTTGGACGAGCTGACATGCCCAGTGGCTAAGGGACTCACATCACGACTTAGACAATATTGGCCTCTCAACACAGCAACCATGAATCAAGAAGCCCGGCAAAAGCAAGTTAAATTTAACCAATTTCAGCACCAGGGTGCATTTCACCCCTCTGTCGTGCACATCTCTATTTTTGTAGCACCAGGAAACTGAAACAACTGATTACGTATTCCAGGCTGTCTCCCCCAAAGGGAAGTCAGAGCTACTTTTCAATTACACAAATTACATGCATTTTCCCATTTACAAAACTGTTTCAGAGCCCAGTTTTGAATAAGTTAAGGAATTCATCAAGTCCTATGACAGCAGACCTACTCACTCAGTCCTCTACCATCTTTGTAAGCAAGGTCAGCCTTTTGGGAAGGGGATGGGGAGGTCCCCAGAGTCTAGCCCATGTCAAATGGGGTTGTGTTCCCTGAGAATCGGGGGAGGCAGAAATCAGGCTCCAGGGCTACTCCCCATCAGGATTTAGATCTTTGTTCCTATATCTGCAGTGGAGGGTTTCAGGCTCCCAGACACTTCCCAGCGCTCGGTGAGGATCTGTGTACCAGGCTCCGTGCTAGGCATTGGCAACTGAGAGATGAAGAGAATGGGAGTCCCTGCCCCCAAGAAGCTTACTGTGTAGTAGGGAAGACCAGATATAGAATAAACTATTTCCATAAAATGTAAAGACTGTATGCAATACAGAAGCAGTACAGAACCATGCTTCTCAGCCCTCTTTTCACTATCATTCTCACTCTCCCAGTAGAGTGATTTTTTCTAATCCTGCCCCACTCTTGAAACTTTAATGCCACAAATAGACTATATGCCTGTTTATATACTGTATGTATGTATGTATGTCCTGTGCTTTATACATAAAAAGCGAGGCATTTTGCCCCCTCCCCACAAAAATCAGTGTTCACTCCTTGGGGGAGATGGCCTCTGTTGAAAAGGCACTGTTCAGGAAGGAACAATGAATTCACCTTGGGGGCTGGGAGGCACAGAAGGAAAGGGATCAGGGAAGGCATCACAGAGGAGGTGGTATCTATCCAGGGTTTTGAAGGATGAGCAGTTCGGCAAAGCAGAAAAGGGACTCAGCATCAAGTCTTCCTTGTTGGGCAATCTGAGCTCCTGCCTTACTCTCAGACATTAGTGGTAGCTAGCCTCCAAGATGGTCCCTAGTGATCTTCAGCTCCCACTATAGTTAGTGTAGTAACCTCCCCATGCTGACACATTAAATAAGAACTAATTTGTATCATCCACAGAATATGACAGAAATGATGGCATGCAACTTCTGAAGCTAGGTACTAAAAGACTCTGCCATCTCTGCCTTGAACTCGCTTTGGGGGAAGTCATTCAAGCAGCCCTATGCAGAGACCCACATGGAGAGCCAGCCACGTGAGGGAACCACACTGGAAGTGATCCTCCAGCCCCAGCCAAACCTTCTGATGATGCCAGTTCCCAGCCTTCAAATCTTCCATCGGGACCCTGAGCATCATGGAGCAGATTCAAGTCATTGTGTGGGTCTGAATTCCTGACCCACAGAAATGATATAATAATAAATGATTATTGCTGTTTTAGGCATTAAATTTTGGGGTGGTCAGTTACACAGCAATAAATAACTAAAACAATTCCCATCTCATAACCCGGTTCCCTAGCTTGTCAACCCCACTGAACAAGGTTGTCTTGTTTATGCTAAAATCAGCTGGTAAGCCAGGAGTTTCCACATTGTGCTTGCTTCTGCAGCTCCTCAGAGAATTCCAGACAGTCCCAGTGAGGTTGTGAGAGGGCCAGTAACCTCCCTGAATTCCTCTCTGGGTGAGGATTTCCCAGACAGCTCAAACTCTCATCTGGGGAAAATGTCCACCTGCCAATCCTTTGTCCTGCCCTCTCTTCCTTCCTCCTCCCACCCTCGGATCATTCAGCAGGCATCCCAATAAGGTCTATGAAGTGTCAGGCACCAGGAAAAATAGGAGTAACTCGGGCCCAGGTTCCATCTTCTATGGCTCACAGCCCAGACAAACATATCTGCAGAGCCCTAAAAGAGGGACAGGCAGAGGGGCATGGCGGGGTTCTGTACATGCTCGCTAGAAGTAAACAGGGAAGTGAGAAGAATAATTTATAGAAGGGCTACTTTAGATAGTGCAGTGAGGAAAGGCTTCCTGGAATGGACAGCATTTTAAGCTGGGTCTCTAAGAATGGGTAGGACTGACATACTGGACATGGGGAGAATGGATGTCTCAGGAGGTGAAAACAGGGCTGCAGAAAAGCCCAGGAGTGCTAAGAATCGGGGT